GATGGATGGATGGACGGACGGATGGATGGATGGATTTAATGAATAAAGCATTTATATACTACATACATGAAGTTAGGCTTTGGTTCACAAGATAGAACCATAGCTGGCACTTGTAATCTGCCTAATATAATGGATTTGTGTATTTTGTGTAATGTACAAAGGATAATAGTTTTTCATTTCTGGATTGTGCTGTGCACCCTGACAAGGATATAAGCCTTAACATTGAAGTTCACTGGAAACCCACATACACAAATCTGTACTTTTAACTCCCACCACCCTCCGGAACACAAGCTTGGGTGATCAGGACCCTGCCATACTTGACAGAAAATGTTCCCTCTATGGCAGAAGGGAAACAAAAGGAACATATACGTGTACATAAGTACATACTGTACTTCAGACCCAGCCACACCCTCAGACAAAAACCTGTTCATCCGTAAAACAAAACTCCCAAACAGAAACTAAGCAACATAGTGTATGCTGCGCAGTGCAGTGAGGAGTGACAGATGGTTTGAAATAGGAGTAAAACAGGCCACCTATGTCCACTGTGGAGGACCATCATCGAAGGAGGTGGTGGCTTACGGCAGGTGCTTCAACCCTGACTCACATCAAGTAACCTCAACAGGTCACATGATAGGGTGGGGCAAGGTCTCACAGTGGTTTCACCTGAAACCTCTGGTGGTAATGACCCACGCCTTTTATCACACCTTGTCTCATGTGATGACGTACGTGATTAATAGTGTGTCAACGACCACCTCCTAAGCAGCATTAGGGTTTAAATACCTGGGACTCTCCACCTTTTGGTTTTTGAACTGAAAGAGCCTCTTGGATGAGAGGTGAAATGGGTTTAAAAAACTTAAAGCTTTCTTTCTGGCTCTTGTTTTTCCTGTAATGTAGACGGGACAATTTGATAGTCATGAAGCTTTTTTTGCTAAGCAATCTGCTTCCTGGTTGTCACTACATATTTAACTGTATGATTACATGACAGCTGCTTTTGATTTTGGATTGAATAGGCTGTTTTCTCATAATAAAACCTATTATAAGACAGTGTGAGTACAGATGTAACACAGATAGGAGATATTATATTAACCAGCTTTTCTTTTGGTATACAACATAACTCCTTGTCTAACAAGGAGAGATTTTATCCACAATTCTGTTGAATCTTTATGTCGATGATGTGTCAAAGAATATGAGAGCCTGTAAATTTAGTGAACCACATCATGTATGCAGATGATCTTGTGGTCTTCAGTCCTAGTAGTGCTTCTCTCCAGCACCTACTTCACATATGTTCTGCGTATTACTTGCAATGCCTGTAAGAGCGATATGATTTCTAGATCCTATATAGATTAAGGAGGAAATCTATCTTAATCTTATTTCCAAAGTTTACATTGTCAGATAATAATCTTACTGTCAGTAATGAGATCAAATATCCTGCAGATCTTTCTGCAGATCCAATGACAGATGACAACGATATTTATAGGCATGTCAGTTAATGTATGCTCAAGCGAACATCCTCTTATGCAAATTTACTGCATGTACAGAATGACTGAATATTTCTTTATTTAGAGCATACTGTACACATTTGTATACAGAACACCTGTGGATGAAATACAGGGAAGCGAGCTACATGTAGCTTATAATGATGCCATGAGGTTGTTACTAAAGAGACCAAAATGGCAAGTGAGATGCTTGTAACTGCTGAAATCAGTATATTTAAAGCTTTATTAAGAAATCTCGTGTTAAATTTATATTCAGGCTCAACACGCCTGAGAATGAGATCACTGGGCTAAATGGATATCAGGTTTGGCAAAACATCAGTCTTTATTGGAGGCACTCCTGTAGTCTCTTTGTGGGTGTATTTCTTTCTATGGACAATGAGTGCTGAATAAAGACTGACTGATTGGGAAACATTGAAAAGAGGAGTCTCTAGCCACCTGACAAAAATGATAATGCTGAAAAATACTGCGGAGTGCAGTGGCCAGTGTGAAGAGGACGAGATTTGCATTTAAGTTATGCATGAAAAGGAACACCAAAACAACAAAAACGACCACCAAAAAAATGATAGCATACCTCCTTGTTTCATCTCCATACAACAAATGAGCTAGGGATCAAAAAGCCCGAGCCAAGGATGCGCTTTTACTGAAGCTTTGGTGGGGGGGTTGGGTTTCTCATTTTTCTCACGACCTGATATAGGCTGCATCGTGAAAAGACAGGACCGCGATGGGAGGAGGGTTTTTTTCTGCCCTGTGTGGGCAGGCCCTTAAAGCACGGCGTGGTTATATTATTGGTGCATAGCTGTTAAATGATGAAGAATTTTAGAGAGGTTGCCGGTGGTCCAACCAATCGCATACCGAGGTGTGGCCCCGTGAAGGCGTGGTCTAAGCGAAGAGGGCCGTCCCAGAAGCGGAAGTGTGTCTCGGCTGATCTTTCGCTGTCATTCGGCCACGGTCGGTTCCAGGAGAGAGGGGCAGCCAAGAAGCAAGCACACACACACAGAGGATCGGCTGGCTCTGAAGGAGAGACAGTTAGTGAGAAGAAAAGAAAATAAAGCGGACAATGAAACCGATCGAATAAGGCTTTATGAACGAACCGAGTATAAGTCACACACTGCCACGTTAACAAAGCTCTTCGATGATACGGTCCAGATTACAGGCAGCAGATAGAGAGCTGTGTCATTGAGCAGGCAGGACACGTCAGGAGAAGGGAGAGAGAAAAAAAGAGCTGACCGACTGCACTGTACGAGTCAGCTACTAAAACCGCCTCTGAAAACCTTTGCCTGCCGCACTCATTGTTTCAAGGACACCGTCTCGCTCTCAGCCCGAGAAAAAGGATCTCGACACAGACGACGCCGAGGTCGAAAGGTGGTGATCAGAAGGTGAGATGTTTTATTCGCTTGCCTTCAACCTGTCCAGCTAGCTAGCATTCGTGCTAACGGTCGTTAGCTAGCAAGCTAATGTTAGCAACGGATGGAAAAGTTAGCTGGTCAGCTAACAGCGATTTAAACTGCTTCTCCGTCGACGCGTGAAACCGATTAATTAACAATAATTTGCCCGACTGATAAAAAAGCCGTATTAATATAAACTTAATTTTGATAGTGGGCTCTTCCCAGGGTGCTGACAGCTGTCAAACAAGGTCGAGTGTTTTATTTTTGACGGATTTGTTGGTTTTTCTGTCAATATTTTCAGCCTTCGTTGATATTTTGTGCTAATGTGCGTTTCTTGGGTGATAATTAGTTGCCTGTCAGTTGGTTTTCGTTAGTAAAACGTCCCCAAATGGAGACTATATGCTCGTCACAGCAGTGGTTCTGGCTTTACTGGTGGCTGCCAGCAGCTCAGCTGTAGACAATCTGGCAACGTCACGGGGTTATAATTAGCTAAAGATGTAATGTTAACTGGCTGGCTTTTTTTAAGGATGAGCTCTAAAGCCACAGTACAGTGAATGTTATATGTGTGTAGGATCTAATTTAGAACCTAAACATAAAGAGATTTCCATGCCTCTGTGTCCCCTCACTTAGTTGTTTTTTTCTAAATCCCTTGATCTGTTGGTTAATGTGAGTGGGTGACTGCTAACTCAGTGCATGCCATGCTTGTATGCTCTTCTCTCTATAGGACCAAACGATCACGGGATAGCACTTGTCTGTGGGGGGAGAAAACAAATGGGGGATTACGGGTTTGGAGTTCTAGTTCAAAACAACACTGGCAACAAGTCTGCATTCCCGGTCCGAATCCACCCGCATCTGCAGCCCCCTCATCATCACCAAAATGTGTCGCAGAGCCCTGCCGCTTTCATAAACAGCACCACAGCCGCAGGGAATGGCACCACGGGAGGCTCTCCCTGGCTCTTCCCTGCCTCCGCCACCCACAACAGCGTGCAAGACGAAATCCTGGGGGGGCCAGAAAAACCCAAAGCACAGCAGCAACAGGAAATGCAAGAAACGCAAGAAAAGCAGCAGTTGTCTCCCGGGAGTCACCAAGAGGGTGGAAGTGGCGGTGGGATAATTTCAGAATTGGAAAAAGCCAGGTCCGAGGAAGGCAAGACAGAGAATGGCACATCTGACAGCAGTAATGGAAAAGAGAAGCAGCTCCGTCTTGAGTCACCTGTTCTGACAGGCTTTGATTACCAGGAGACATCTGGTCTCGGGGGTACGGGCCCAGTTCAGTCCAGTACAACCTCGTCATCGCTTTCTGGCTTCAACAACTGGTCACCCGCCATCCCGCCTGCGCCATCAACAATCATCAACGAGGATGTCAGCTTTTTCAACCCGGCGTCTGCCAGTAACGGCCCTCTGCTGTTCCAGAACTTCTCACACCACGTCAGTCCAGGGTTTGGTGGGAACTTCTCCCCCCAGATCGGACCAGCTGCTGCCTTGTCCCAGCACCACCCGGCTCCCCCACCCCATCCCCATTTCCAGCACCCCCACAGCCAACACCAGCAGCATCGGCGTTCTCCAGCTTCTCCCCACCCGCCACCGCCCTTCCCACACAGGAATGCAGCTTTCAGCCAGTTGCCGCATTTGTCCAACAGCCTGAACAAGCCCCCGTCTCCCTGGGGTCCAGCCAGCTACCAGAGTCCTTCTCCCTCCCCCGGCTCCTCCACTTCCTGGAGTCCCGGAGGAGGATATGGTAGTGGTGGCGGCTGGGGAGGATCTCAAGGCAGAGATTATCGACGCGGGCTGAATGGCGGGATGACTCCCATTAACTCTATCTCCCCACTGAAGAAGACCTTCCCTAACAACCATGTGGCATCCCAGAAGTACCCTCGAAACAGTCCCGCAGGCTTTAACCCCAAGTCCTGGATGGATGATGGAGTTGGCCGCAGCGATAACATCTTCCCGTTTCAGGTCAGTTTGCCTCTAAGATGTTTATTCAGATGGTTGAGTGGGAATTTTCACTAACTGTATGGAATTATCCTCTTTTTCTTCCCAATTATGTTGTATACTAAGCATGAATGTCCAGCGTATATGTCTGGTTCTGAATATTTTTCAGTTGTAGCTGCTCATCACCTGAATTATTAAACAGCAGGATGTCATTTATGTGAACTATTAATATTATAGCATTATGTGGTACAGCTTCTATTTTTAGACACAGCAGGAGGGCACAGATTTACACAATGCTTTTGCTACTGTGTTAAACCTGTTATTGGACTCTGTACTTCTATAGCTGAGTGTCCTTTGCGATGACTAATGTGGCTCTGTCACTGCAGTGGTGTGTGCCACGTGAA